CTGTTGCAATACTATTGCACAATAGTTTTATCCTTCCTTAATCTGTCCCATCTGGAGTCATTTCCCAAATGAATGTGGAGAAGCATAATTTGAACTTGAACTAGATCAATATACAGTTAAACATAAATTCAATGAAGCGTAAGTCTGCACCCAACAATAAAATACAAAACACCCACAAATATTTGATAAACATTTGTGCCGCGCATTTATCAAAGAAAGTTGTTACATTAAACTATCGATAATCAAACATAATATCGATGCATCGATAGTTTCGTTTCTACCATCGATTAATTGCTATCGAGACTAACAATCGCAATCCATCGACAGGTCGACGCACGTTACAGCCCTACTGACCATGCTTCATAACTTACATTACATACTCTGTACGCCTTTATCCATCTTTGGAGGAACATGTAGAAGATGCTACACGCTTGTCCGTCGCACATCGCCGTTGATCATCCGCGCCAGCGCCCTAAAACATACGCCAGGATCCATGTCGCCGCCGCGCGGAGGTACAATCCAATTCAGTGCGTTCATTCAGCTGCTCGCAGGCGTGAAGTCACTGTATGGATGAAGACACACCGATTATTGATCTAAAAGATGGTCGGCTGAATACGCTGGAAATAAACAGACATGCTTCATTATCTTTATGGAAGCAGCATGAAGGTTTATAGATCCATTCAGCATTTCTACAGCACTGCTGAGCAGGACGCCATTTCCATCAAAACCCTTCACAACATCAGTGTCACCAAAAACCTGCCTCCATCACTACATTATTCACTCGAAAGGAACATTACCGTGCACGCTTCAGTCTCTATATATAGATCTGCTTAATGCAGCAACAAAGTGTACAACACGACCCGTGGTTATTTGAACACATTACAATGTAGGCAAAGGTATTATATACAAAATACAAATCCTGGCTCCCTTGCTGAATAATGAAAACAGTGTTTACAACCAGACTGGTAACACATACAGTAGGGCCTACCATTGTTACCTTCATAACTCCAGACATGCATGGAGTTTATATCCTCATATTCATTTTTGGTTATTCTAGTTTTCTGAACGATGACTGTGATATGACATATAATATAACGTATCTTTTTTAGAATATATATTTATGTATAGTGGAATTCATCTAACCTTACAGCGTGGTATATATTAAGGTGCTGTCTAGATCAACGTAAACATGGGATTAATTGTTTTGTTCCGCTTTGAGGAAGTACAGTTAGCCTACATACTTACGATATAAGTGCCTGCGTTATAAAACGCTTACTCTCTGCATGCGTATGGATACAGTGGTTGTTCACGGGCGCTATCTTGTATGTCGGGTGACTCCATTATTTCTTCATTCTACTGATAAACGTATCAATGTTTTGAAGTTGTCAAGGAAACATCGTCGTTCCTGCTATGTATGGATCGCAATGACCCACTGCGCAGTGAATCCGTCGAAGCCTTTGATTGGTTAAAATGTATTGTAAAAGCGGCTACATATTTCAACGCTTATGAAATAGTTCTACCAGTCAAACTGCATGGAGTTCGCTGCTGTGTTATATCTTATATATAATTGCCGTAATACTGTCTCTGTGACGAGGTGAGATTTTAAAAAGTATCTAGCTGGCTGAAAGTGCGTGTGTACAACATTTAATTCAAATCAATCAGATTACTTCAAATCGCTATGCGCGATGGCGATCACAAACATCTATCGCAAATTTGTCAGTTGTCATGAAACGAATTATCGATAAATGATATATTATTAAAATAAAATATAGTCAAGGAAAAGAATAAGGGAACACAATTCAGGGACGGATACAGTTTTTGAGAAGGTGGGGTGGGGAGGTGATGTGGAGGTGGTGCACACCTATTGAGAAGGGTGTGGGTGTATTGTGCGTGTGGGGGTGCACACTTAACTTTCACGAGAGCTCTAAATGGTCATTTAATATAGCCTACTTTCAGGACAAAAGGGGATGCGCACCCCTGCATACCCCACACCCTCCCCGGATCCGCCTATGCACGTGAAAGTACAAGTGTTCCCTTTATTTATTTCCAGAATTTCACACGCAGTGCAATACATACCTTGCCTTGTAGCATAGCTACCATTATGAAATAAAGCCCGGGCTTACACAAGATTCTTTTGCTAAAAAGGTTGGGCAAGCCCTCAATACTATCTAATTTTAAAGCTTTGTAACCCATCGGGCGTACACGAAACTACTGTACTTTCATGTGTTCCCTTTATTCGTTTCTTAAGAGTATATTAAAACGTGAATGTTCACCACAAACACCCTACCAACACTATTGCCGGATCTGTCACAACTTCAGCAATACAGCAATTAATTTACCCCTTCCGGGTTCCTTTAATCCAGTAAATATATTGCCAATAACAGTCCAGTAAAACCAGCCATCAACAGCTGCTGTTCTCATACGCATTCTGGTTATGATCCGTCATCCCACTGTATGTAGACAGGTTGACCCCGGCATCAATCCACTATACACTATAATGTACTGAATGTGTTCTAACACAAGCAGGGGGCGGTGGGGTAGCCTAATGGTTAAAGCGTTGGCTCGTCACACCGAAGACCCGGGTTCGAATCCCCACATGGGTACAGTGTGTGAAGCCCATTTCTGGTGTCCCCCGCCGTGATGTTGCTGGAATATTGCTAAAAGCGGCGTAAAGCCAAACTCAGTCAGGCAGTAAGTCTAACACAAGCACGTGCATGCACGACGGTTGCCATCAAGGTGACGTGTGCGTATGAATCCAGACACCATGCAAGGGACCAAACACTAACGTCACTCACCTGCATTTCAAACACAAGATACTTTTAATGTTCCTGTTGATGGGACATTTACTCTTTTTTTTGGTTGACATTTACAGCTGATACGATCAATGCCCCTCATGTGAATAACTTTTACAATGTAATAATATTAATACAAAGACATTCATATATATAATTTTCTTGAATACATGTATACTATTATTTTTGCAACATATATATATTTACAAACACATACATATACAAAGTTAATAACATGAGGGGGAATATATTGCGCATCGACCTATTTAGTACGTGAATATATCGCATACATACATACATACCAAGTTCCCCCTCTCCGATCCCACTTAACATAAAGTGGATATAAACACGATACATACCTGCGTTGCTCAGTTGGCAGAAGTTAAGAGATTTGTCGCCATGGCATATAGGAGGATCAGAACTCACGAGAACACGCACTAGTCGCTTTTCAGTTTAACAGTCAAGTCACCCATGAATATGGCCATATCATATAGAGTAATCAAGGCCAATTACTGAAATCGTCATTAGGCAAAGATGCATTACGGCGTCTCGGTTGATATCATTACCAGGTAGTCAGGTGACATTAAGGTAATTACTGCGTTACCTATCTATACCACAACCAGACCAAACCCCAAGGGCTACTTAGCACGGTGTTGAAGCCGGAAGATAATTAATTAAACCCGGTTTGGGAGTGAGTGAGTGATACAGGGCTAAAATCGTCACACATATTTGTATGGACAGATATATCAGAGACGGGTAATGTATGTAATTTGCTTCTTTACCGGGTATGACACGTTATTAGATTTATCAAATAGGGATTTTGATATGATCTCATAATAAGCCTTGCTTTAAATGTGTACAGCCGTACCCTACCATTATTTGTATTGCGAATAGGGAGACACGTTTCAGTATATAAGGGAAGCGTTTTCTTGTTTTACGATATTGTGACCTATGTATAAGCCATTGCTATTTATTGGAAGAACGAAACATATGTTGATACGACGCTATGTGAGTATAATCGGGGATGCTTACCACATTGTTGGAGTATAACGGAACATACAAACAATGTGGAAAGCCATTCAAAGGTTAATACGATAGCAAAGTAATTAACTGCGGCCAGTTGGCATGCCCCAGTGCTAGGAATACCTTGATCGCAGGCCTCCAGGTAAAACTTGTATTTACACAGAAAAGGTGTGTTTCCATGGTAACCATGAAACAGGTAGGTGCCTGCCAGGAACTTGTGGCTTGCGATCTGTGAGAGCGTGGAGGTCGACCGAGAGAGAGAGAGAGCGTGCGGGCGGGCGAGAGGCGGTGTGGCAGGAAAAGAAGCCATGAGTGGCTATGGAGTTCGTTTGTATAACACCGTCTCCCGATCCAGTGTTAATGAATTGTTGGGGTGCTTGGATATGTTTTGGTGACGAGGGCAGAGGTCTATGAGCAGTTTTCATGGAGCGTCGGAGGTGGCGGGGTGCTGAATGGAAAATATGTCGCCCTAACCTCTTCCAAAGTCAAACTTACTCTTTTGGCGGAGCGTTGAATATGTAAGTTTATAATAACCAGATGCGTTATAAATAACCTTGTAAAGTTTGACTGTACATACATATATGAACAATTTACATGTACTTGGCGAGTGAACAGCCGTGCCTTAATTCACAGTACAAATGTCATTGTGTTAATCATCTCCAAATCGGCTCTACAGGAGTCCTGCGTTTCAGTGAAGTTTTAAGGTATCGTTTTTGCCTTTAGCCTGTTATCAGTGGCGATGTGGCCAGTGATCTTAAACACGCTTATACCTACCACGTGTATTATAGTGCTAAATCCGTTAATGCAACAGGCGGTTAGAGCTTGTGCTTATCAGTGTTGCAACACACCTGTCGGCAAAATGCCCGTATGTACAGGTGATTTGTAATGCATTAAGTGTCAACATTGTTGAAACTGGCATATAGCTGTCCAGAAAACACTTCTACATTTAAGGTCACAACACACGTACATGACTGTTTTAATTGATACCAACTGGGTGTTTCACTACGTGTGATGTGAGTTTTGAGTGAACTCCAAGTGACAGAACAGGGAAATAAGGATGGTGATTTATCATTTGGTTGGGGAGGCTGGGAATATCCTCAGTGGGTCTTCCAGTATAGTGACACCACAGACACAGAGGTATCAACACCTGCGCGTGCAATTCCTCGTGACACAAATACAAACGGACGGAAAGACAGACATCCAGACAGACTGTCACATGATAATCAAGAACTGATACACGCGGATAATCATTAGGATAATAAGAGTGAGTGAGTGAGTGAGTGAGTGAGTTGAGTTTTACGCAGCACTCAGCAATATTCCAGCTATATGGCGGCGGTCTGTAAATAATCGAGTCAGGACCAGACAATCCAGTGATCAACAGCATGAGCATCGATCTGCGCAATTGGGAACCGATGACATGTGTCAACCAAATCAGCGAGCCTGACCACCCGATCCCGTTAGTCGCCTCTTACGACATGCAGAGTCGCCGTTTGTGGCAAGCATGGGTTGCTGAAGACCTATTCTACCCCGGATCTTCACGGGTCAGGATAATAAGAGTATGCGTGGCATCATGCAAAGCCTGGATAAGGACACACAATGTAGCATATGCACTGCAAATTGTCTAAAAAGAAATAAAATCAAATAAAATCCATTCATCACATATGACACAGGGATAAAATCGGCATCTACGTACGAAGGAAGAACATTTTATAAAGTTTCTGGCGTCTGTAAAATACCGGTATATATATTATCAAAATAATAGTAATCTTTATATCACACAAGACGATGTGTTGGGCCATTGCATATCGTATGTGAATAGCTCTGCTATAACACGTCATTTATATCACACAAGACGATGTGTTGGGCCATTGCATATTGTATGTGAATAACCCTACTATAACACGTCATTTATATCCCACAAGACGATGTGTTGGGCCATTGCATATTGTATGTGAATAACCCTACTATAACACGTCATTTATATCCCACAAGACGATGTGTTGGGCCATTGCATATTGTATGTGAATAACCCTTCCATAACACGTCATTTATATCACACAAGACGATGTGTTGGGCCATTGCATATTGTATGTGAATAACCCTACTACAAGACGTCATCTATATCCCACAAGACGATGTGTTGGGCCATTGCATATTGTATGTGAATAACCCTTCCATAACACGTCATTTATATCACACAAGACGATGTGTTGGGCCATTGCATATTGTATGTGAATAACCCTTCCATAACACGTCATTTATATCACACAAGACGATGTGTTGGGCCATTGCATACCCTACTACAACACGCCATCAAAGTCACGCGAGACGATGAGATGAATTTAGCTACGGGCACGCGAACACTATCATTTGGGACAATAGGTTGGACCATCGCTCATGAATGTGTCCTAAAATGAAAACCACACGGACCCACAACAATGCAATGGTGTGTGACTTGGGCAGTTGTGTGTATTGTATGATGATAATGCGATGGTGTATGACTTGGGCAGTTGTGTGTATTATATGATGATAATGCAATGGTGTATGACTTGGGCAGTTGTGTGTATTATATGAAGATAATGCAATGGTGTATGACTTGGGCAGTTGTGTGTATTATATGATGATAATGCAATGGTGTATGACTTGGGCAGTTGTGTGTATTATATGATGATAATGCAATGGTGTATGACTTGGGCAGTTGTGTGTATTATATGATGATAGGCAGTCACATATCCTCAAAATGTCAATGAATCGGATTGAAACGATGACAAAATTACATCAATATCCAAATTATTGTTACAAGGGAAATGTAACAGTTGGCATGTATTGGTATTGTCGTCATGCTTCTATGGACTTTAAAAGGCTGATAATTCAATTACAGACACGATTCAATATGAGCTGCTCAGTAGAGACTGGTCTATGTGTGACAACAGACTCGCCTGCACTTACTAAACAACTCATTTATAGTCTTCATTATTCTCAGCGTGTAACTGATATGATATCTAATTTGAGCAATACTGTTACTAATCAATTACAGCCAATATGAAGCTCCCATGAAAGCAGAACTACCAGAATATATGAATATGGGAATACAATTCCAATATACTATATGCATTTTATGGACAGCTGCTTCATATACAATCCGCTGTTACATAAACCGTCTTGGGTATATAAGCGATGACCGTTAGACTCAGGATTACTGTTTGCATCAACCGATAAGCGAATGCAGTTTCCTTTTCCGGTCCACATTTGCTGTTCTAATTGTGCAACAACTTTTCATTAATTTTACAGACGTGTTGATGATGCTGAGGTCGGAACTGACGTCGCTGATGATTCGAGCTCATCATCTTCTCCGCAAACAGCCGACATTCAAGGCGGAAGAAGTACCGTTGTTGTATCGCGAACCAGGGGTGCTAACCGGATATCGTCTGCCCGGAATGAAACTGGTATCCTACGTCATCAGCGTCCTACAGTTGAACAACGAGGTCGTCAATATATGGACACATCTCATCGGCTTCGTGGTTGTTGTCTTCAAGATCCACTTTCTGCTGGAGGAATTTGGAGCAAACGATTCTAGGATTTTCCCGGTCATCGGTTTCGGAGTCTGTTGTCTTCTTTATACATTTTTCAGCGTGATCGCTCATACTGTTCACTCTATTTCACCACTCGTCCATTACACGTCCTTCCAAGTTGATTATGCTGGTATAGCACTTTATGCCTTCGGGGGATCACTCTCCGTGTTTTATACGAGTACAGACAGTGAGACGAAGACCCAGTTGCAGTCGTGGTTTCTTCCAGTAAACTTCACCCTCTCTTGGTTTTGCTTTTTGTGTTGCTGTATTGCGAAGCTGAAATATCGCAGACCATATCCTATCAGTAGAAAGTTATGGCAGGTTATCCCTTATGGCGTCCACTCGCTCCTCACAATGGGCCTCGTCTTCCGCAGAGCTGTCAAATGTTTCTCGGACAACTGTAACGATCCGGGGTTGAGTATGCATAGAACTGCCGTCATTCTCGCCATTATTGCAGCCTTGACCTTTTCAAGCCATCTTCCGGAGAAAGTGTGGCCAGGTCTGTTTGATTTAATTGGTCAAGGACATCAGGTGTTCCACGTTGTCAGCATCTTGCTAACTCTCAAACAGTTTGATGCCGCTCGCTGGGACATTTTGCATTCCAATATTGACTTTTCTAATGACGTCCGACCTAAGTTATCCACAGTACTGGGCGTGATAGCTGGTTTGTGTGCGTGCTGTGTCTTCACCATTCTTGCCCTGAGGCCGTATGTCAGGAAGGTTGTTCAAGGTGGTGACATTTTAGAAGAAACGAAACGAGTCAATTAGTTTGTATAAACTATTTTGTATGTTTTACAGATTGATATCAATATATTTTGTCATACGTGGTTGGCATAAACGATTTTTGTATCAGCAAAGGTTTGTTAATATTTTCTCAGCACACTAGGTACTGCAAAACACTTGCGGTGCAAGGGTTGGAAGTTTTGGTGGAGGCAACTGTGAGCATGAACGATGAACTTGAGAAGGTGAAGCAACATCTTACTAGAAGGTGTGTTCGTGGTTTTACGCCGCGTTGAAAGATATTTCAGTAATACGACGCGAGGAACCTGCGTATAGCTTACGATGCATCATGTTGGTCACTACCTTTGTCTTCTAGCTTTGATAAGCCTTGGCATATAAAGATGTAAGTTGTACCAACACATGTCTGGATATCTTTCAGCAATGATTTAGGGATGCCTTCAAGAATTGTCTCATTGGATTCTAGCGATGATGAAAATAATACAAAATACTATTTTAGAGGTAGAACGAAATCTTGTTTGATATCAACTAACTAGAACCTCTGTGAATTGGAAACTGTTGCCCGTGACTGATTTAATATATAAACAATATATATATGATACATTTTGTTCCGCCAATACATATTGTTGACGAACACATACACCCCAGTAAATATCTTCTGAAAAATACCTTAGTAGATCTGTTGTCAAGACTCTCTGTAAGTATGTTCCACGATGTGAATTTCTAATCTAAGACCGAAGGGATTTCCTGCAATAAACACAACTAAATACTGAAGGTGTGCAGAGGAAATTGCTGTTCACTGGAAAATCGCATCTGTATTGAAACATCATGTCACAAGCGAATATGGAGATATTCCATCTCTATCCTTCACACTATGTTACATATGCAATACTTTCCAAAGCAGCGTTCTAACCCAAACTGATTCACGGACACACTTCATAAAAGAGAACACGGGCCTTTACCAGTCAGAGGAAGGTGGTGTTCTTAGCTTTGGAAGCTCCGCGGCTGTTTCATAAACTCCTATTTGTATTCGTGTCTAAATACGATCTCGTCTCTTGTTAGAAAATATACGGAGATTATCGTATTTCCTATGTTGAGAGCCTGTGTTTATTAAGATTTCCCCCCGCTATATCTGAATATAAAACAAAGTCAAGTGAATGTTTGTTGAAGAATGAACTCGCGCGTTCACAATGGAAGCCTCCAATAATCGAATATTGAACAGAAACCAACAGTTTCCAACTGAGGTTCACCCTCCAGTGGTTTGATTGTTCTGCAGCAGATGGTCATGTTTGTCATAATCGATTAGGCTCGTCTGCAGCCGTACGCAGAAAAGCATATTTCCCGAGACGAGGAACTATGTTGTACACATTCTATTGGAGGATGTTATTTTGAATGCACGTGATCGCAAAGAAACACACCCTCGTGACACTTGAGAAATTGAAAAATAAAAACCCTCCAGTGTTCTAGCAAATTGGGTTGACATGTTTCATATATTCCACATGCAATAATATTTACAAAACAATCTCATACCCTCTCATAATGGAGGGTGGAGCCACGTTCCTCAACACGATCTCAGCATCAAGACGGTCGCTTCTTCCATATATCAACATAACCTTCCAATAGTCGCAGTGCTAAGACTGCATTGTGGAATTAGCAAAAGAAAATGCTAAAAGATTTTGGCACCTTCTACTGTGTTATAGTGCAAATATTTCACTAATATTTCACACACAAAAGAATAATAACTATGATATTTGAAACTTATATGAATTCACAAAGGTACCTATAATGTGATTCTCCTTACACAAATGAGAGTATAACAACTGTTAGAAATGGAAATTAGTTATCAACACTAAAACAAAAACACTTATCAAAAACAAACTTTCATTTTTCAGTGTTACAAAAAGAGTAAACAGATACTATTTATTGGCTCACCCATCGAATATGTCAATCATCATACATATCTTGGAATTCATTTTACAAACAATAGTTCCTTCCAAACCTCTATAAAAGTCCTTTGTGAATCTGCCACTTAGGCAATGCATTTGATACTGCGTAAAAGTCGTATCTTGAGAATATCAATGAAATGCCAATTATACCTCTTTCATGCTATGGCTAAGCCAGTTCCAGTTTACAAAAATGTAAAGTAAAGGAATCTGTTCATGTTTGCAAATTACGCCTTAAGAGAAGTACGTCGCTATACATTTTACCTCTATCACATGTCGCATGGTATGCTTTGGGGCTAAAGTCCTTTCTGGCAAAGTACAAAAGCTGTGGAGAATCCAAATGAAGTCTGTATAAACAGAAGTGATAAAAATGGAGTAAATGTGTGGAGGTCATTTCAATGACACTGACTCTAGTTTAAACCAGTTGAGGGAGCGTTCATTACATATGGCAAGGGGGTGAGGGGGTGATGATGATTTTTATGGAGAAGCATGTACAATGTGAAAGACTCCCACCTAAAGTTTATGTACAAAACCAATGACTCCACCCCTAGTGCATGTGTACAAAACTAATTTTGATCAGATTTTGATCGGGGATTTGGTACCTTTTCGCTAAAACTACTGTTTTTGATCAGGGACATGTTTGCTCGCAATGTTTGCGACACGATCAAGTGATATTTAGGTGATGGCGAGGTGATAGTAGCTGGTCCTTTGAGAACTATGTACTTGGGGTCGCTCTGAAGGATTAACCCTTCTGGGTGGTGAAGGATGAACTTTTCTGGCTGGCTGAGGCCCCCCTGAAGGATTAACTCTTCTGGCAGGCTAAGGTCCCTCTGTGAGATTAACCTCTCCTGGTGGCCTACCTTGTGGTCGTGATTCCAATGAAAGATTAACGCTTAATCGCGACTGTTATTCAGGTAAAGCATTCATGCCATCTCGTGGCCGTGCTGTACGTGAAGGAATGACCCAACCTGGAGGCAGAGATTTCTTTGAAAGAATAATCCAGCACGGCACCAAAAGTGTGTGTGAGGGATTAACCCCAATCTGGTGTCAGGATTAATCCTACCTGGTGGCAGAGGTTTCCTTCCAGGATTAACCCTACCTCGTGGCAGAATTTTCCTTACTGGATTAATGCTACCTGGTGGCAGAGGTATCCTTGCTAGACAAACCCTACCTGGGGGCAGGGCCTTCTTGGATTATAACCCCCACCTGGTGGCAGAGTTTTCCTTCAGGACTAACCCCACCTGGTGGCAGAGTTTTCCTTTCAGGACTAACCCCACCTGGTGGCTGAGTTTACCTTACAAGATTACCCCGACCTGGTGGTAGAGTTTTCCTTACAGGATTACCCCACCTGGTGGCAGAGTTTTCCTTACAGGATTACCCCACCTGGTGGCAGAGTTTTCCTTACAGGATTACCCCACCTGGTGGCAGAGTTTTCCTTACAGGATTACCCCACCCACCTGGTGGCAGAGGTTTTCCTTACAGGATTACCCCACTTGGTGGCAGAGTTTTCCTTACAGAATTACCCCACCTGGTGGCAGAGGTTTCCTTGTTAGACTAACCCCACCTGGTGGCAGAGTTTTCCTTACAGGATTACCCCACCTGGTGGCAGAGGTTTCCTTGTTAGACTAACCCCACCTGGTGGCAGAGTTTTCCTTACAGGACTAACCCCACCTGGTGGCAGAGTTTTCCTTACCGGATTACCCTACCTGGTGGCAGAGGTTTCCTTACAGGATTACCCCACCTGGTGGCAGAGGTTTCCTTCAGGACTAACCCCACCTGGTGGCAGAGGTTTCCTTCCAGGACTAACCCCACCTGGTGGCAGAGTTTTCCTTACAGAATTACCCCTACCTGGTGGCAGAGTTTTCCTTACAGAATTACCCCTACCTCGTGGCAGAGTTTTCCTTCAGGACTAACCCCACCTGGTGGCAGAGTTTTGCTTACAGGATTACCCCCACCTGGTAGCAGAGTTTTCCTTACAGGATTACCCCACCTGGTGGCAGAGGTTTCCTTCAGGACTAACCCCACCTGGTGGCAGAGGTTTCCTTCCAGGACTAACCCCACCTGGTGGCAGAGGTTTCCTTACAGGATTACCCCAACCTGGTGGCAGAGGTATCCTTTAGGACTAACCCCACCTGGTGGCAGAGGTTTCCTTACAGGATTACCCCACCTGGTGGCAGAGGTATCCTTCAGGACTAACCCCACCTAGTGGCAGAGGTTTCCTTCCAGGACTAACCCCACCTGGTGGCAGAGGTTTCCTTCCAGGATTACCCCTTCCTGGTTGCAGAGTTTTCCTTACAGAATTACCCCTACCTCGTGGCAGAGTTTTCCTTCAGGACTAACCCCACCTGGTGGCAGAGTTTTGCTTGCAGGATTACCCCCACCTGGTAGCAGAGTTTTCCTTACAGGATTACCCCACCTGGTGGCAGAGGTTTCCTTCAGGACTAACCCCACCTGGTGGCAGATTTTTCCTTACAGGATTATCCTTACCTGGTTGCAGAGTTTTCCTTACAGGATTACCCCTACCTGGTGGCAGAGGTTTCTGTGAAGGATAAATAACAAGTGGTTCATGTGAAGAATCAACACCATCGAAGGTGATGTTTAAATGAGGATTCAAGATCGAAAATATCAACTACTTTTTCATCGCTCGATAAAGTATTCACCAGTGTATATCGAAGGGAATGACACACAGATTATCAAAATAAAAATGCTGCAGCCAGTCGAAGATGTAGAAGTTGTTAAGCAGCTTTTCAAATTAAACAATAAGTTCACCCAGAAATTTTCACGCGAAAGAAATCAGTTTAAAACTAAAATAATAACGAAGATATGTTATACTGTTAACGGTTTATAAATCCATACAAATTACTGCAAAGTGATTAGAATGGTAGCACACATCCAAATGGAAGTACGAAATTCATCGGCAATATAAAACACCATAGCAATGGTGAGAGGAATATGTTATGTGATAATAATATTCACATATCAGCAACACTTGTCCATGTCTATGAATATGTTATCATGAAACATAGACCAGACTTACTGCAGGCTGGCATTCTTTATGGCATAACATTTACACTTATATGAAGTCCAGTTACCTTTATCTGTTAGTAGGTATCAAGACACCAGTTCATCTCAGGCACTATTTAAGCAATATCGCGAGAATGAGTCATATCTACAGA